CACTGTCTTCATTTTCAATCATGCCTGCAATTCCAGAAGAGCCACTTCTTGCTCCAAACCCTGACAGATTCTGCATGTTCCCAATCCAATACCCTCAGATATGGGAAATGTACAAGAAGGCCGAGGCATCGTTCTGGACAGCTGAGGAAGTTGACCTCTCCGGCGACCTCCGCCACTGGGAATCCCTCACAGACGGCGAGCGCCACTTCATCACTCACGTCCTCGCCTTCTTCGCCGCCTCCGACGGCATCGTCCTGGAGAATCTCGCCGGAAGGTTCATGAAGGAGGTTCAGGTCGCCGAGGCACGTGCCTTCTATGGCTTCCAGATTGCAATCGAGAACATTCACTCAGAGATGTACAGCCTCCTTCTCGAAACCTACATCAAAGACTCAACAGAGAAGAATCATCTCTTCCATGCAATCGAGACCGTTCCTTGCGTCAAGAAAAAAGCCGAGTGGGCCCTACGCTGGATCGACGGCTCAGAATCGTTCGCGGAACGCATCGTAGCCTTCGCCTGCGTCGAAGGGATCTTCTTCTCCGGAAGCTTCTGCTCGATATTTTGGCTTAAAAAGCGCGGGTTGATGCCGGGTTTGACCTTCTCGAACGAGTTGATCTCGCGAGATGAAGGCCTCCACTGCGATTTCGCGTGCTTGCTGTACTCTCTTCTGAGGAAGAAGCTCCCCGAGGAGCGCGTGAAGGGAATCGTGAAGGACGCTGTTGACATAGAGAGGGAGTTTGTGTGCGACGCGCTTCCATGCGCGTTGGTTGGGATGAACGGAGACCTAATGAGTCAGTATATTGAGTTCGTTGCAGATCGGTTACTGGTGGCGCTTGGGTACAAGAAGGTTTACAATGTTCAGAATCCTTTTGATTGGATGGAGCTTATTTCTCTTCAGGGGAAGACCAACTTCTTTGAGAAGCGCGTTGGTGATTACCAGAAGGCTTCTGTTATGTCTAGTTTGAACGGCCACGGTGGTGTACACGTGTTCAAGATGGATGAGGACTTTTAAATCACACTGTTATCTAATATCTATTATATTTTACATTCCTGCTTTCGTCTTTAGATTAGGTTTATGCCTATTTGTTATACCTTCTTACTTCTTAGCCATAGTTTTAGTAGATTAGGTTTTTTATTTTTCTATATTTTAGATTTGTCATTTTGTCTGTAATATTATGCCTGTCGAAATGATAAAATATAAATTCTGCTTAACGCATTTTGTTCGCATGTTAGTATAATAATTTTGTCTCAAGATTATTAATTTCGTTCAGTATAAAATTTTGGTGTCTTATTTGAAATAATTAAATTTTGATTTTGGGCATAGTAAATAAATGATGTTAAGTTAGGGCTAATATTAATATTTGGGTGTTAATATTGTGGTCCCCATTCTCAGCAAGAGAGGGAACTAGGAAGTGTTTGTCTGTGGTTGTGAGTAGTGAGCGTCTTCAATGGCCGCTGAGCTACAGAGCACTGGAATGATGTCCAGAGAACAGCTCTTGCAAGTTTTTGATCGATTCAATTTCCTCACTTCTCAACCTGGTATTCTCATCTCTGCATATTTTCCAGCTTTTTGTTGTTTCAAGTTCATTAATTGGATTCCTTACCCCCTTTTGGGTTCTGATTGCTTTGCAATTTGGTCTTGTTTGTGATTTGCAGACGTGAAGAAAAGAATTGCAGATGCCGTACAGAATGATAAGCAGGTGAATTTCTTGGGCTTCACATTTATTTTTTGTAGAAATGATAGAAACGTTTATGTTTGTTTTTTCTTTTGTTTGGTTTAAATTGGGAAATCTTGTTCTTTTGCTGTAGTTGGTATTATGTAATAATCCCTGAAAGGTCATGTATGGAGAGTGATATTGATAATGGGTTTGTGAAGAAGAAAATTTATGGGGTACCTACAAAGAATTGAACGCAGTACAAAGCTTATTGGTTAATTATTTCCTTGGAGTCGAGACTGTTAAGGCAGTACAACTAAGCAAAATAACTACTATAAATCTGTCTATGCTTGTGCTGATTTTCTGTTTTGAGGACTCAAGTCTTTCTTAGTTCTTTCTTTGTATGATTGTATGTCAGATATAACACAAGTTTGTTTGTTTTTAGCTACCATTTTTGTGAATTGTGGGGTTCTTAAATTTTGTTTTTTGTTTCTTTAAATAATGATTGATTATCAGGAAGCTGTTGCTATGACCACTGCAATACAGGAAGAGATATTTTTGGAGATGGGTATTGGTAGGTTTGTGATGTATTCTGATAGTATGTTTGGTGCTTTATTTTTCATGTTAATAAGTGACATCATGATATAATAATTTAAGTAGATTCAGCTCAGTGCAAACTTCAGCAACACCAGCAATCCCGTCATTGGATGTAGATGCTTGTCTGCCTAACAAAAATCATCACAGATTCATCTGTTTCTTTTTTTCATTATTATTTTTTAAAACTATTTACAAAGTCATCCTACATATCTCTGCCTCTATATGTACAATGTGGGGAAACCTAGATATTTCTTTAATTGTCCTAGCCAAACTTGTTAGTAATATATGCTGAAACTGTGTTGTCAAAGGGCAATGTTCATGCATGGGATTAAACCAAGCAATGGGAATTTATGTAGTTTACAAGTATCGATCTGAGTTGTTGAATTTGCTAAGAAAACCACATATATAGTGTAGAAAATAGAAATAATAAGTGTTGCAGTTATGATCGATTATGATCAGTCTCCCTCACATCTGGCATACTAAGCAATTATGATTCAGGCCCAATTCGAATCTGGTACCTAACATGATCTTATTAGTTTTGTGACAGATCCAAGCTTTGGTATTGCATGCCTTGGACAAATTACTACTGTGTATGAGAATGATCGTGATTTGGTAATTCAATTTTATAAGTTCCTTGCAAAGTAAGTTATCTTTTTTCTTCTGCATTTATAGTTTTCTCTCCGATTATTGTGACACATTATTTAGAAACTACAGAGTTCTATGTGACCATGAACAGAAGAGAATTTGTGTAAAGTTCACCCATTTTTTTCTTGAGAATTCTTTTAAGTTTATAAGAAATCCATTTTCCCCCATATTATAAAAGGTGTTGTTTATGGTTCATAAATACAGCATGGCCATTCAATGTCTCTCTCTTGTCTATCTCTGAGTTGTAATAACTTTGGAAAAATAGAAAACCTTTACGCCTCGTGATTCATTGAAACAACACTTCACCTAATGATCAGGGTTGTGCTTTTCATTCCCAAGCATTTGTTAAGTGGCGAGATTTTGACAGTGTTAAACTTGGATTTAGTTAGTTATCATTAGTAGCTGCTTAGTTTTTTCAATATTATGGCAACCATAGATAGATTTGTGAGCAGTTAATTTCTGCAAAGTGGTCTTACACTGTGATATGAAAATAATATGGTAGAGAAGAGATGGCCTGTGATGAAGCAGATCTTGGAGAAGAAGAATTTGCAGAAAAAATGAAAAATCAACAAAAGCTACAGGAACAGGTAAAATATATTTAATTCCCATGACATTCTAGAATCGCGTTTTGTGGTTTAAATTTCTAAAATAATAAATCAAATGCATACAGCAATTAGAGATGCTGAAGTACATGCGGAAATTTCATTTGGACGATCAATCTGCTATCCTTGAGAAGGTAAAACACTAGTTCCCAAGTAGAGAATTTATGTTGAATCATGCTGGTGGTAACAAAAGTACAAAAGTGGTTATCATTTGATAGATCAACTCTAAATATTATTATGGTCATGTTTATGATGTAAATTGTTAGAAGCACTTATGTACCAATTATATTGCATTATATTGTCAAGCGTAATGGTTTATTATGCTGACTTCTTGGGATGATCATATTAATATTTGAATGTCAAACCTGATTTGTAATAGGACAAGAAGTGCAATTGAATATTTTATACGCTATATGCTCATATTAATTTTATTGTATATGCATTATTAGGTCAGTTCTTCCAAATTACATGATTCATTTGATTGTGCTTCTTGGGCAAACTGTCCGAGTATGATGTCTGTGTTAATATGAATTTATGTAACTTAGACTATTTCAATTTGGCTTGGCTTATTTCTTAAAATTTTCCCATAGCTTTTGCAGCTTCACAATCTTTATTCACAACATATCCGTCTGTAAAACGGTAAAAGTATGTTCTTCAAAATATCAGAAAACAAAACTCATTATATGCATTTGCCTTTTTCGTTCTGCCAGTTACACCAGCAGATGGAAAACGGCGATTATGAGAGCGAGACATCAATTTTGTCAGCTGAGACGATCGATGAATTCGTTCAAAGGAAGGTATCCCCTGTGTTCAAGCCAAGTTAGATACAGAAGAGTTGCTGAGGCATGTTTTACTCAAGTGTGGCTTTCAAAATTCAAATGACACTTCTTTTTTTTGTTTTGTTTTTGTTTTTGCATGGTCCACAGTGACACAATCCACAAGATGTATTATTTAGTTAATTTAACTTTAACTAACACTGATAATTTTTTATACAGTTTGAAGCACATGCTGCATTTCTATTCTATCTAGAACTTGTTCAATTTTTTTACTTACCTCATAGTGAATGAATAACTAGAAAATTTTTAGTGTTTGATGGGATGGTAACATTGGGGTTACCTTGTTTATATTTTCAGCCACAAATAGTTGTCAATACGAATTGGGTTTCTTGACTTCTTCTCTAAATGGGTTCAATTCTGAAATTTTTATCCCTCTTAAAACAAGTTGAAAATGCATTGATAAACATAGTCATTCTTATTTAATAACCCGCAGTGCAGAATTTGAAAATTTCCCCTGGACTAATAAAATTAGTTTAAATCAAATGAATTGTATGATTAAATAATTCTGGAACTCATACTAAATTCTTTGATGATACACTTGCTAAGCACATGCAAGAAGCATTTCTGTTTGTGACTCGTTATTTCAAAGGCTGTAAACGGAATAAGAGGATAAAAAGTTTCTGAATCTATCCAAGGTTTATAATTGGTAACAAAAATATACAACAAAGTTGAGATGGCCGAGTTGGTCTAAGGCGCCAGATTAAGGTTCTGGTCCGAAAGGGCAACCCACTCTCAACAATTAGTTTTTGGCTGGGTCGTTGAAAGAGTGTGCTAGGGCTTCAAAGGGGGCAGACTCCGGCAATGAGAGCTTGGAACGGCAAGGGGTGGACCTACAAGGCCACTCCGACGCTCAAGTCAATAAAGTGCACGAGAGAGAGAAAGAATAAAGTATAAGGGGGAAGTGAGAGCATACCTTGACTTGAGACTTAGTAGATTTATTTATAGATGTGAGATTAGGTTTAGTAACTGCATGATGCTGTTTGTTGGAGTGTGCAGATCCAATCCCTACTTTGTTGGGATCTTAAACCGTTTAGTTTGCTTCTTTATTAATTTAAGTATTTATTTATATTTGTTTAAAAGTTCAGTTAGTGTGTTCGGTTACTTCATTCTTATCTTCTTTAGTTGTTGTTATTAATTAGGCATGTGTTAAATAGTTTGTTGGGCTGAGTATATTTGGGCCTTTTATTGTTAAGATGGGTCTTTGTTTGATGGGCCATATCATAGCCCCCAAGCTTAACCTGTTTTTGGTATCAGGTTGAGCTTTTTTGTTTTAGTTTGATTGAGCCCAAATATAGTTAGCCCCCAAGCACAAACTTGATGTCCAAAAGGAAAGGTTAAGCTTGTTGGAGATATGTTAGTATTGGATTGATTTGTGGGTCGTATGGCTTAGTGGGCTTCGGTGGTTGTGTGCATTAATTTGACTTTGTGGTAGGAGTTGTGTAATAACCGTTGGGTGTAGTGGTGTAATGATGGGTGCACGTTTGCCAATATGCCTTGTTTTAAGGACGTTAGATTCGAGGAAGTGGGTTTTGTTTTGGTGGGATCCTGCGGGGTTGGGGTTTGTATTCACGGGGATAGCTTATATAATTTAATAGGTTTGTTTTTTAAAGAAGTCATTTAATTTCTTGGTTTTGAAAAGAAGGAAAGCTGAAGAGAAAAGAAAAGAGCGAAGATGAGTCTAAAAGGTGAGTAACTCTCTTCTGTTGCTGGTTTTTTCTTTGTTATTTTCTGCTTTAGTGGTTTGAAAGTGTGAGTGGTATGACAAGTGTAGGTGAGGTGGGTGCGATTTCTTTGTCCAAATTGGGGTATGAGTGGGTAAGTGATTCGGTGTGGAAGATTCCTACCAAATTCGTTGACGTTGAAGGGGTTCGGCGTTTAGGGCCGCCATCTGCATGGGTTAGAGAAGGGAGTAAGGTGAGTGTTGAGTTTCTGCCGTGTTTGCCATCGGAAAGGGTTTGCCATAGGGGACCGAATGGGGAATGGTTCTTTATGTACACATGTGTGTTGGCAGAGATTGGGGTGAGGTTTCCCTTTACAAGGTTTGAATGTGCAGTATTAAGGCAGGTAAATTGTGCACCTTCTCAGATTCACCCCAATTCTTGGGCTTATATGAGGGCCTTTCAGATATTGATGGAGTATCTTGGGGAAACGCCATCGTTGGAGGTGTTCTTCTTCCTGTTTCAGGCTAAGGGTGTCGACAGAGGTGTGTAGGTAACTTTGAATTCTCATCAAGGTCGTTCAGTGTTTTGTTCATTCAAACCAACATATAGGGACTTCAAAGAGTTTTATATCAAAGTCCGTTCAGTTGAGGATAGTTTTCCATTTTTCTTGGATGAGCATTTGGCTGAGAGGTTTCC